CATACATAGGAAAATAATTAAGCAAAATAAGAAAATAGTAAGTGCACAAGATGTCGAGGTTCAGTTTAACCCTTCACACTCTAAGTTTCTTTCACATTTTCCTTTCGATAACTTTGCATTATTTTGAGCATTTAATTTGAAATGTATTTCGACGGACAGTTAGTTAAAAGAAAACAATGTAAACAATTCTTTTTACTAATGCTATTAAAAATAGTATAATAACACGATACAACTAAGAAGTATTTCGGCAGAGAACCAAGCGTTTAAATAAATCTGATGTCGAATCATATTCGACATATGAGCGCAAAGGGTTAATAGTAGCTCTTAGACCGAAAAATGTTTGAAAATACGAAAGAAATGTTCGCGGTAAGTGTTACTTACGTGGTAAAGAAACAAACGTCTTTTTCAATAATGTCGTTTTCACGTGACAGAAAAATGAAACAGCGATTCTAAATTTATCGGTGAGATCTAAAGGAATCTTTTTAACGCGTATTTCGGTGGACCACCGGCCATTGGTCACCATAAAATAATATTGTTCGACCAAATGCCTGGCCATGGAACCGGACAAACTATTTTAAGTCAACGCGCAGTCTCTTTATTTATTTACGAGCGAACTGCTTTCGTGACCTCGACAGTCGATGTTATTACAAGGACCTTCTTGCGCAGCGCGGGAAACGATTAGGAAAACGACGTATGGTGTACGCGATGACACCGGTTCTACCACCGCCAAAGGCTTTGATTCGTCGTTTCGGAGTTTAATGGCAACCGTGCCAAAGCGACAACAAAATGGTTTTAAGAGCAGAATAATTTTGTTGCGGCGTTCAACCGTCTTTTCGAGACGATGATCATACAAATCAAGTTTATGGTACAAACGATCGTCAACGAATCGAAGAATTGTAATCAAATTCCTCAGATTGGAATTCTGTAATTTTGGACATACGGGCCGTTTATTTTAAAAGTGCTTAGTCTAAAGCTTAAGTCCATTGAAAGGAAAGAAGAAACGTTCGAAACTAAACAATTTCAAAACAAAAGGATACGGTCGAAATGTAACTATTACCGTTAACCTAATTTTATTGAAAAATGAGCTTAAGCCACTTTGAAAATAAACGGTTCGTATCGAAGACACCAGTCATACCCGATCTTTATCAATAATTAATTAAATCGTAGTATTAAAAATAGAATTGTCAATGACAGTCATGTACGGATTCGACTGGATAAAATTATAATCAATTAAAAAGAAAAACGGATCTCAGACTCCATGACAATATTTATGAAACAAGTTAATGTAATTGCTAATTACATCCCGATCAATTGTACCGAACGTTATGTTTACTTATTGTCTTAGTTAAATGAAAATGGATTCATTATCCCATTATGAAACCAACACATAGTTATATTTACAACAATAATAAAACAAATGAAAAGAAATCGAATGAAACGTATCGATCACCGAAATGCGCTAGTTCTCTCGCAACAATTCAATAATTCCACCCTACGCCCTATTCTCCATAACGCGAACGTCCCCGAGCGGTGAATATGTATCGCGCGACGCGACCATAAATCAGCACTCCCTATCGGCCCACCAAGTAGAAAATATTCTGAGGGCAAGGAGTTAATATTAATAACACCGTAAGTGTTTCTTCGACGTGTGTACCTGCGCTTCTGCCAGTGTTCGCCCCGTCCCAACAGAAAGAAAGCGGTCGTGTATACAAACAGACAAGAGAGAAGCATAAGGACAATTCAATTTTAAATCAGGCGGGGCGCGAATCTTTTCGTCCTGAAGATTCAAAACGATCGATCAATCGCGCGGAGAAGCATTGTTGGTTGCTGCACAAAGAATTCCGAGAGGTGCTTTATTGGGCTGCCATTGTGCGCACCCGGCCCCGAAAAAGGAGTCGCCCGGACAATAAACGCGAAAAGGCGGGCCCCGTTTAAAGCCGATTCGCAATTACGATTCGCAGCACGCGCGATTCGTATTTCGACCACCGTGTACCGCGGTCTGTTTCTTCAGCAAACACAATATTGCGTGTGGCCGAAAACATTTTTTTCGCCCGCGAAACCTCTGGCGAACCACCCAAAGGACCCTCCAAAGGAATTCTTCGAAACGAGCGTGTCGCGAGTTGCCTACGCAGTTCTTTTCAATTTTTATTCGTACCCGCGTCGTCTGTATTGTTCGGTTGCTTGCGACAATCGACGTATTGTTCGGCGGGATCGCTTCTGCCTGCGTCAGGCGCAGTTATCATAATTAATACCGCGGCGAGGAGAACGTTGCAAAGTCTAACAATGAAGAGATTTGTCACGGTTGTTACCGACATCGCGTATTAATCACAATTTACGTTAATTTTGTGCAAATGTGAACAACGAATATGATATTCGATGAAATTATCTGGTCGAGTGTCTGAGACCCAGTGATTTTTCGTAACTATGCGAGAAATGTATTTAGCATATGTCTGTCTACGTGTGAAATGGAAACTCTGAGAATTATCAATGAAATTAAAGTTAACTCAAATCCAACTCAGACTCTTAGAATTGTCAATGAAATTTTGATTCATGAAATTTGTTCACGAGTGATCGACGCACTTTCAAGTTTGAAGGTAAAATATTAAATTAACGAATGTCGCATTACAGCGAGAACAAAACCGGTATATCGCGGGGATCAGAATTCGGACAATCATGCTGAATCATTTGTGTGTACAAATATAAGATCAGTCAAAAGTTTGCGATTCTTCGAGCTCATCAGGGCTGAATAGGTTCTTATTGAAACCAAATCATATCGCGTGCAGGTTATGAGCACACTCGACTAATAGTAATTCTTTTTTAAATAAGTATGAATTACCCAACAAGATCACGAAAGAAAATTAGTAACGTCGACGATCAAAATTTGTTTCGTTCGACCTTTTCCTTAACGAGCGGTTTCGTATGTCCGGAATCTCGTATTTGTGATGTAACGATCGTTTGCATATTGGTGAGGTATTCGTTTAGATGAGCTCTTTTAACCAAATAGCGTCAAACGGTGAACAGTAGTCCTCAAGGAACGATCATGAGCAGATCGTTGTTCCATTAGCACGAAATTTTCGGGTTTACGTTAGCCATGGTTAGAACAAATACTAAGTCGGCGAGAGTCAAAGGGTGAACCGACGGAACGATTGGCCGTGGCTGGTTCGTGCGGGCCGAAGAAATCTGCAAGCTCACGCCCTTGAAAATCCTTTCTTGCCGCGTAACTCGAGTGGCTACCGGTATATTGCCGGTCCTCTCCAACAACTCGAAGCGCGCAACTCGTACGCCGCTTCTGTTGTTGTAACACATTTCGTCCCCGGCAAACAACACCCCGCGGTTTACCTGGTAATTGCTGGAAACACCGGCCGAGTGTTTACAGTGTCATCGAGGTGCGGTCACACTTTGCCTACACCATCGCCTCGGACAATCCGTTTTCTTCACCTGTAACCACACGGCTGAACACATTCCGCAGAGACGTTCGTCGAACTATTTGGTTCCACGCAAAAATATATCGAGCATCGTGGCTGAAAAAATACATTTAAAAATAAGAATTTATTAGAATTCCTTCGCGAATATAACCTCCCTCCACTTACGCAGGCGGTAATCGAACGTAATTGAACAAAAGAATAATAATAATGATAGTTCAGAAGAAAAAAGTAAATTTTTTTGATGTTGCTAAATTCGGATTGCAGAAATTGATATCACATATAAATAATATCATGTAAATGCTGTTATAATTTACCTCATAAAAAAGAGTAACAGATGTGTAAATGTAACATACAGTGTCGACAAATTTTCGGTGTTTAAGTCTTATTAAAATAACTGTGTTTAAGTCTTACACTGTTAACCAAGTACCTCGGGGCCCGTGTAGGTATGTATATATCTACTTAAGTACTTCCAGCTTGCATTGAAACATTTTTCATATTTCTAGTGAAAAATTATTAAATTCTTCGGATTTGTATAATGTATGTTTGATTTATTCGAACAGAATTGATACCTTTGATAGTTAACACCGTAAAAACATATTAGTTAGATATTAAAGTAATGGTTAATAAAAGTGTTCTTTAAAAAGGACGATTATTCTTGAAGCCCTTTCTTTAAAGATGAGAATTAACATCCAGAAACATCGTTACTTACGCTATTTATTATAGAAATAATTTGCATAAATTCTTGAAAACACCAAGTTTGTTTTTAAACTGAAGTATAAACTGATTAAATTTGAAAGGATTTGAGACATTTTGACCTAAATCAAACATATAGAAAAGACTGTATACCTTTACGCTATTTCAGAAAATTATGTTTTTGACAAGTGGTGCCATTCGCGGTGAAACAGTTAAACTAGTTAAACAAATGTTATCGATGGAGCAGTATAAAGTGATGCGTTATGGACGCACGATAAAAATTATATTATAATTTTGTGTATACTTGTCTAAAATTCTAAACATAGATAAAAGCTTATCTATTTTCCTAATAGAAACTGCCAATTTAGATTTTGCATCCTGAATCAGAATGTCAACTACCAATATGTCATTTAAATAAATTTCGTAGATGCCAGTCAAAATTTACATCAATAACACTCATGATTTACGGATGTCTTGCTAAACTTCCCAAATTCCGAAAATTATATATAATCAATAACCAAAGTTTCCACATAGATCATACTCTGAATATGACTGAATATTCTAAACTTATATTAACCGTTTGAGTGCCACGGGTTTTTGCAATAATCTAATCGAAAAGTGCCAAACGGCGTGATTACACTCCTTTCGTTTCAGTTCAAAAACTTAATAACGCTTTTCTATTTTTTCATACAAAAATTGTAAATAGTTTTTCGATTTCTAAGCAGGTATTAACAACAATAAAAATAAATAATGAGAAGGAAAACAAATATATAAACTTAATGTGATTCTACGAACCAATAAGTTGGCGCTTTTAGACAAGTGTAACGGAGAAGCGCGATCGCGCCGCTTGGCACTCCAACGGTTATAGAAAACAATGTAAAATGAAAATATAATATATTTATTTTCGTTTAATAATAAGAAAGCTGTATTTACAAGTTTTCAATAATCATATTTCACTATTATAAAAATGATTAGTAATGTAATTTCATAGAAATCATGAACTATAATAATAAAATATTGTGAAACATGAAATAAACGAATGTGTTGATTAGACAAATGGTTCTATAAATATAACATAGGGAATTAAATTAATTAATTAATTTCTACTTCTTGTGGCTCTTGTTCATCATTGGAATCTTCCATCCTTTCTTCTTGTTCTGCTACTTCTTCTAATTTCTTTCTTTCCTTAAGACCAGCAGCAGGAGATCTTATAAGAGAGAGGTCCCGTTGAACTTCTTTTACGTCTCTTTCTTGTTCCAATACACGTCCTTTACGTAACCGTTGCATTATGTGTAGATTTTGTCTCCTTTGCCTGATTACTTCTACTTTCTTCATTGCCTCTACTGTCTTGTTCCATAATTCTCTGTTATATTTAATGGGAATATTCCTCTTCCTTTCAAATTCAAATGATGGATCCACACCCAATTCTTTACCAACAGTTTTCCTATACGCTTTTGTCCATCTGACTTTTCTTGGATTTTTCTTCTTTTTAAAGGCAGCATGACACTTCGAGCGACAAAATTTGAATATCTGTTGCAGACGAAATTTCTTTTATGTAATCAAATATATACGAAAATTACAATTAAATATATATTGTAGAATATACACATAACCTAAAAATTATTAGAAACAATGAAATTGTAATATTATAAACGCGAATAGCTTTTAATTGAATGAATACTCACTTTACAATCATTTCTGACAAATTGAATTCCATGTCCCGGATAAATCCGAGATGAACAAAAATAACACGTTTCTATACGCATGTTATTTAAAGTTATGAAAACGCTACTTGAAATTGGAAATCAAAAACATGAAACATGTACCGATGATGAAAGTCCATCCCACTTCATCGAACTAGCATCATAGATTTCAGATTCATATAGACATTACATACAAAGTCATTTTCTGTCTACTGCTCTGAAATATCGACACTGTCAAAAATGTCATAATTTTACCGACGAGGAACAGAATAGACTGAACATCTTATGGGACTTTGTGTTCAATAGATTGAAAAATTTAATATTGAGACAAGAAAATAAAAAAGGATATGTTTTTTATTTATGTATTTATTTATACTCTGTGGGTAAAGTTGCAAATGACACAAATTGGCAAAGGGATCACGTAACTCCTCGATCGTGTGACAAAAATTTAAATTGCATATCTATTCTATCCTGTCTCTCGTCGCTGGTAATACACTAGCGGACTCTGTTAAAATAAAATGGGTAACTAAATTAAAAAGTGTATGTGTTTTTTTTTTAAATAATAAATATATGAAAACTTTGTATTACAAAAAACATTAATTATATTATTATGTAGTAGAATATAAAAAACAAAGGAAAAGTTTAGTGTGATATTTATAATACAAACTGCGAATTTAATCTTTATATTGTACTAACTTTTAACGGTTATTACACCTTATATTTACTGTTTTTACATATTAACCTTAATTTCTGTTTTAAAATAATGTTACCCATTGGACCATATCATGACATATGTTCAGAAAATATTACCAGCAATTGTACAAACATAACTGGTTCTAATATTACAAATAATTGTAATGAATCAGAATCATTAGATGATTTACAGTGTTTTGTATGTGATGCAACAATTCAAGGACGTCATTATGCATTGGCCACATGTAGAACACAAACTTCAAGATCTAGAATAATAGAAAAGCTTGGAGAGTTAGTTGGTGAAAGGTATTATCTTATATTTCTATGGGTATTTCAATGAGTAAATTTTGTATAAGGAATTTATCTAAATGCTTAAAATACTAATATCTTTATTTAATCATATAATCATCTAATGAATATCATTTTCATATAACACAGATATATGGTAGTAATATCAGAAGATGATGTAATCTGTAGAAGTTGTGCCAATCGTATTAATATGCTTGATAGACTTGAAGTTGAAATGATTACTTTGCGTGATAATGTCTTAAGATTTTTGGAACGAAAGTATTCTTTGGAAGAAGGAGAACTTCTTGGTGTCAATGAAAAGCAAAAACGTTCTCAACCACCACAAATCACAAAATGTACTTTTCAGCCAAGAGAGAATTACCAATACAAAAAACAAAACATTACTTCACCTTCCTATATTTCTGGAAAAACAAAAGATAAGAAAAGTAACATTTGGTTGCAATGTGATAAGTGCCAATACACCACCCTTCATAACTCATTTATGGTACATCATGTTAGAGACCATGGTAAACAAAAAGAATTCTGTGATAAGTGTGATACTCAGTTTTTTGGAAGTCAACAGGAATTTCATAATTGTAATGTGAAAGAAGACTCAAGCAATCAAAGTAGAAATCAAAGTGAACAATCAGGTTTTTTTAACTTTTAATTTTTGTGCTTGCAAAATTAATGTTCTTATCAATTTATAAAAATAATAAATATTTTACAGAATTATGTATCAAAAATATTAATGAAACTATAATGAACATTCCAATCTTAGAAAAAGCAATGCAACCAAATGAGCCAATTATGACCATTGATGCATATTCAGAGTCACAAATTTCAAATCATAATGAAAATATACCTATCATAAGATTGTCAAATTCAGAACATGTACCAATACAAAATATTTTAACTTCTGGTAAGGATTTTAGATCCTAAAATAGTATTTGAATATAAACTATTTCTTACTCTGAATATATTCTTTAATTATAGACAACACTACAACTGGTCAGCCAATATATGTACGTGTTTTGCAACCAGTTGAAATTAATGAAACACCAATACATTCCGCAATGCTGGCTATTTCAAATTCCAACTCTGATTTATCAATGAAACTTAAAGATAGTTCAGGAAAGCAGGTTTTGACATTGACAGAAGATGGAAGGTTGGAAATGACAGAAATGGAATGTTGGAATGATATACAATCATCAGAGCTACAACCCAATATAACATTTCAATGATATAAACTTGTATATTTAATTTGAACACAGTTTTTATTTACTTATTTTTATTAATGCAACAAATAACAATTATTTATAACAAAATAATATATACTTTTTCGTTTAAACCGAGCTTGTACCAGTTTTGAACACGTCATTTGTCTATTTTCTTTGATTCTTGAATTAAAATTTTAATGCCAAAGTCTGGTACTAGTTTCTTCTTTTAATTTTCGATTCGTGCTGTTGTTTCATCGTAGATAACATCAGGTGTGCAATTTATATTTGGTACTTAACCAAGCAGGCCGAGTACGCCTGAGATACCATCAGCAACACCGTTAACGACATCAGAACCGATATCTGCAGCACCCTTTATACCATCTCCAACGGTATTAACGACACCATTAGTAATATCGGAACCTGTCTTCGCAGCACCGTTTATTCCGTCTCCAATACCATTGACCAAATTACCAGCAGCATCAACACCCGTGTTTACAACACTATTTACACCATCTCCAAGATCATGAACTAAGTTGCCAGCCAAATCAGAACCTGCCTTCACAACATTATTTAAACCATCTCCAAGACCATGGACTATGTTGCCAAGCAAATTGTTACCGGTATTCACAATATCTTTCAAACCGTCTCCAGCACCGTTAACTAAGTTTCCAAGAAGATTGTTACCTGTCTGTACAAAATCTTTTATGCCATCTCCAAGACCATGGCCCAAATTACCAAGAAGATCGTGAACAAAGCCAACAACATTCTTTATGCCATCTCCAACAGTGTGTACAACGTCTCCCAATCCATTAGCAACATTGCCTACTATATCTTTAACCAGTCCAACCGCGCCTTTCGCGACATTGTGAATGCCATCCACAACACCGCCAATGATGTCGTGAACAGTAGAGACAGTACCCTTTACGAGATCGCCACCATCATGTGCAAGGTTATCAACTATGTTTTCGGCATTATGGACTAAATCGGCGGCAATGTTCACAGCATTTGCCAAAGCCTTCTTTGTCGAATTTTTTACATCATCCAGAAGGTGATGGTTTGCATTTGCAAGGCCGGTTAGAACATTATGGATACTGTGCAGAATGTTGCCATTTGTAGCCGTCAAGTTGCCAACAATGTTCTTAGCATTATCCTTTGCATGCTGGAGAGCGTTCTTAAGATTGTTCTCCAAATTACCTACAGTGTGGTTAAGCCCCTGAGCAACCTTTTCAACGTTGTCTTTCAATGCTGCCTTGACTTTGTCGTTACCATTCTTGGCGTTAGCAATGTTATTCTTAACTGCTTGCAATTGTTGTTGGATACCATTTTGTATGTTACCCACCAATTTGGAGACATTATCTTGGGCATTCTTGACTTGATTTTCAATTGCGTGCGTCACATTTTGGAGGACTCCCCCAGCTTTCTGATTTATTTCTTTGATTTTCTGTCCAACGGAGTCAAGGATTTTCCCTACAGATTGCAGAATATTGCCCAATGTCTTTGTAAGAGAGTCATTGATTTTAGAAATGACATTTGTAACTCCGTCAACAATGTGACCAGCTTCTTTTTCAATTGCTTGCGTAGTATTCTTCAGAGCTTCACCGACCTGGTTAATGATATTAGAAACCCCATTCTTAGCATCACCTACAATTTTGTTAACTACGTTCTTGACATCCTCAGCATCGCTTTTGATACCGTCTGCGATCTGTTTAGCTTCCTGTTTAACATCATTCACTGCTTCGTTTAAGATGTTTTTCGCTTTGTTGATAATGTTATTAACGTTTTGTTTGACAGCATTAATTTTATCCTTGATAATCTTGCCAACAGATCCCATGACTGCTGCGGTTTCATTCTGTACTTTGCCTACGTCATTCTTTACTTGTTTTAAAGTGTCAGTAACGTCTTTTCCTGCATCTTGCGCTAGATTTGAAGCTGTGTTCTGAGCATTTTGCAGTGCTTTCTGTGCATTTGATTTCACATTGTTAAAAGCCTTAGCAGTGTTATTTTTAACAGCATCTACCGATTTTAGCAAGTCATTGTTAGCTTGGTCCAAAGCATTAGAACCCTTTTGGATAAGGTCTCCCAATTTTTGTTGGAGTTCATTGGCAACTTTGGGGTCTTTCACAACAGCGATGTCTTTTTTGATCTGATCACTCAGTTGAGCCAAACTGTCCTTAGCTTTGCTTATTTCACTTTGGGCAGTTTTTTTAGCATTGCCCACAACCTGGGTGGTCGCATTATGGATTTGCTCAAGAGTCTTGTCCAACAAATTCGCGGCATTACTCACGAGATTTTGAGTTTTCTGTTGGATATCTTTGGCTTGACCTGTTACATTGTTTGTAACATGAGCAGTTTCGTCAGCAATATCCTTCAACTGTTTCTGGACAGTTTTTTCGGCGGAGTCGACGAGATTCTGCAGATTTGCAAGGATGTCATTGGTTTTGTCCTTGAGTTGAGGCGAAGCATTTTGACCAGAGTTGCTTGGTTTGTTCTGTGAAAATAATATAATTTAAGCGCTTTTAAATCTAAACTTTTATTCAATTATATGCAATACGTATTGTTTTGTTAATAATTGTAATAAAAATCTTCAGATTTAATTACATAAACACGTTAGAATTAGTATATTATACTTACAACGTCGGAAGAAGAGCCGTCTTGAGCAAGTGGCACAGCCTGCACATAATAATACGTACATGTATACAGTATAATAAATGTAATTGATATTTTGTTAGTGAATATTAGTTTAAAATACAAATGTTGTCTTTTCGCTTGCAATACAAGACGCTTTTTGCGTGTAGTATATTTTCAACTAAAGAAGACAATTAGTTTATGCTAAGTATGGTGTAATTATTTGTCAAAAAAGTATAACTATATTAACTTAAATTTTTAATACTACAATTATTACTTATTAATATATAACTGAAAAGTTAAGAATTCAAATGAGCCGGAAATAAACCCGCCGCCATGATACTTTTTCAAACTGAAGCAACCATCTTGATTCTTATTTGAAATATCCTTCTTTTAGTGGACTATGTATATTTTAAAAGAAAATGAGTAGGGAGAATAAGATACACATACAAAATAAAACAAATTACAAAATAATTTATGTGGAAAACGATGTTAAGAAACAATTATAAAGTAAAAGGTATGTAAAATTTAAAGTATAACATACCAGAACAGCAGCCACTCCAAGGATGGCGAAGATTGGTAGGGCTCGGAAGATCATTTTCGACTTGTGCTTGCTATGTCAAGCTCTTGATGACTACTCGAGAATGTGTGCTTGAATTCAAATTCATCGGGACTTATATACGGACTAATGGTGTTACTGTTAACAACTGTGTCAATAAAATGCGAATATGCTTTGATACCCGAAATCAGTAAGATTATTTGAATAGCATGTTCGTCATAACATTTGTTCATTATTACAAACACAAATTACGCTGTTAGCTATCTAATACAAATAGCTCATTAAAGTTTTCTCATTTAGAAAATAATTAGGTAATATAAATATTCTGCTGGGTTGCATAATCAGGTAACATGCATAATTTATTTCATGGAATAAAAATATGTTCGTGACGTTCATTAGGTCTGATAATTTTTGTTATTATAATATTATTATAATTTCAATATAAATCTCTGTCTTAATAAATTAAATCCTTCCATTGTTTGAAGTGTTACTATATATGGTTTTAAAACAGGAGTACCTACTCCTATATACAAATTTCTCATAAGAAATATATCATTTTTAAATTAAAGTGTTAGAACAATTGAAACTGTAGATTTATCATAAACAGGAGTTAATTGAAATAATTTTAATTTTGATTCTTATTATTACAAAGTTTGTGAATATTTAGTGTGTTATAACCTCAAAATTGAAAGGGTCGGCTAGTAATATTCTGTTATTTGATTGGCTATATTGAACGTTCAAACTTGAATGGAGATAGGGTCCTAGTTAGTACCGTCCGTTAAAGTCATTAAGGTTTTTGGAAAAAGTATCCTTTAATATCATCGTATAAATGATACGATGACAATGGAAGATATTAATTGTGATATTGCGCATATTCTTCAGAACAGGGACTTTAACGTTTTACAAAATTTAGTGACTCATTATTATAATTTCCGTATAAAACTTGCCGCCAAAGTAGAAGACGCAACTGCTTATGAAATTGGTATGTTTATAAAATAAATCGTAATTTAAAAATTCTACAGTTTATTAAATTTTTATCAGAAATGAGTGTTTGTACAATAATTGATATTAATTAATTCATGGAAGTTTCCTTTCCTAAATCGGATCTGTTTAGTGGTTATCGAAGAGTAAACGTTATATGAGTACACATCTCATTGACGTATTTCATTTGGAAAGAAAACAGAAGTTGTATACATCAATCGTCGTATCTTTAAGTTTTCTTAGAACAAGTGTATTCAATGTTATTTTACATAATAACTTTGTAAACGTGACACATGGATTTTATACCATGTAATATACTATTTGTAAATCATACAATGTTGAAGCACTCATTATCTTTTTGTTGTTGAAATAATGAAAAAATAAGTGGAAAAAAACATTTTTGTCTTTTATTTATAGAATGTAAAGAGAAAAGGACATTAAGCTTAAATAAAATATCAGAATTACAACAAGAAATTGAAAGATTGAAATCTGAAATAGATGCCACAAAACTACAACAGAAAATATTGGATAAAAAGATTTTAAATGCAAGTAAGCAACAAGAAAAATTAAAAGAGGAAGTAGACAATGCTAAAACAAAGAGGGATAGCTTATCCCTTGAAATGATTGATTTAAACCAAGGTACATTGTAAAGATTTGGTTTTGTAGTAATAGTTTACAATTTATAATTATTTGTATTTGAATAAATTTTGAAAGTGCATTAAAGTTTTTATTCCATTAAAAAATTTGAAATACAAGTTCATTCTATATAGATATAATAAGCTTAAACAAAGTTTCAATGTTAATATAGTTAAATCATTTTTCTAGAATCTGAAAAACGGAAAGAAAATAAAATTTTAACATGGAATGCTATTAAGCGTGCATGTCATATTTACAAGCAGTATCTAGATTTTCGTATAGACTTACTTGATCCTAAGGAATATGAACGTGTACAAATTTCTTTTTTTACACACAACGAAGATTTCTGTAACAAATATTTTGTACGCTTGATCAATTCTAATAACCAGTGGAGAGGTATACTTTCTTAATTTCTATAAGCAGTAAATGTTTTTTTCAAAATTACTCATAGAAAGAACTAATATATAATTGTGCATTTTTAGTGGAAGAAATTCAACCAATGCTCAAGACGGAGTATTTTAACGATTTTAAAGGGATTGTTGACTTTTCTACACAGTCAGAAATTATAGATATTACAGCATTCCTCTGTAAATTGAGACACATTTTTGTAAAATACTATTTAAATATCTAATGATATATTTATAAGTATATACAGTATATCCGTTCTATTCGTCTGTAGTCAAATATTTTAATTATAAGAGTTGTTTGGCATGATGTGGCACATTTAGTAAGTTGTTTCAATTTCATTTTACACTGTTATGTAAAAAGATTTCAAGGTAAATACAATTTTTTTAAATGGAACTACTATTTTCATGAATATCAGTTTATTGTATTTTACAAGATGAATTCAATGATGTGTATAACGTTTACCTCTTATTATTACGTATCGACTATTTTTATAAATATTTGTAGGGAGCTTCGGCTTCAGCAGATCTTTTATGTCCTGTGAGTGTCTAAACAATTAAATGTCGTCTCTATATCGCAAATTGTACTAATTTAAAGTATTTAATGATGATATGTATTATTTATTAGTAAAAAATTACATTGACTCTGAAATCTCTTTAAGTAACAATGTAAAAAAAAATCGAAACAGCTTACTAAATGTTCGTCATCATGCTGAACAGCTCATCTGAAATATTTTTTCGTATTTTCAATAATTACGGAAATATTTAACTGTACACGAATAAAATGGATATACGGTATATAATACAAGATAGCTCAAATGTTTGTTACAAAGTTCTAAGGAACACTTTCATGAAATTAAGGAATTTATACAGTTTGACAACAATTAAGGCTATTTGTTATAAGATTAAAGCCTTTATTAATAAAAACTAAGATACCTAAAACGTCTATTACATGTATAGAATTTGTAGTACCAGACGTCACGAACTTAACATTAGTATCTTATTAAAATATATTTATTATTAGTACAATAATCTTCTGGTATTATTACATATAATTGCGTCGCTCATTTCGATATACTACCTGCCTACAGTTCATGTTAAAAACAGTAAACTGCTAATCACAGTGTGGATAAATTACTTAGGTACTAAAATTACAAACAGGTCTCCATTCGACTTCTACTTATATATGGCACCTATAGAGATATATTTGTAATTACACCTGTTCCATAGACGTGCGAGAATTAAACCTTGTTCAGAACGAAAAAATCATTGAACTTGCTTGGAACTGAATGTTTCACTAAATTTTAAATACGCATTCGCTTATTCGCCAAACAAGTGTCATAAATATCGTTTAATACTCAGCAATTTGTTTCTTACTTCTCGCAGTGCTTAAAATTCGCTTAATTAAAATACTTAACTGATAAATTATTTTGATTTTGGGTCCTAGCTAATATGATGCTAGCAGTCGGCGTCAACGATTGTTTTTTCACATTTATATATATAAAAAAAAGTACATAAATAATTAAAACTTCATGTGATTTTTACATGAAGAAGAAAGCTCGAGAAAAGATTTGTACCGAAAAATGATTTATAAAAACAAGTGTACGAAGAAAGCATAATATTATCAACAAAGTCTTAATTATTTTATCAATCATGTTCCTGTTGTACATTATTTAAAAGTAATTTGGAAAATTTTTGTTCTTGTTGCCTCTTCTTATACGCTGATTCGATTGTTCGTTGAAATGCTAAAAATAATAAATAAGTAATAAACGTTTCCTTGAATGGTATTTAATTACTAGACTGCGGATGTCTGCGCAAATTCATATCTCCGTACATCAATGTATAAAAGTAAGAATTACCCAAAGCTTTAGTTTGTCTATTAACAATTTCACTGTATTTAATATTAAAGAAAGATCCACTGAACGTTGTAGTAATATTCGCAGTCTGTTAATTATTCACCATCGAACAGGACTTCTAGAGTCGAATCCACTTTGTTCATTGCTCGTGTTACGTTCATTTAATTGTTAATGTAGTTACGCACGAAATATCTATCGATACGCCTTACTGGTACATGGAAAGGGCCAATTGATTATGTATGCACAGAAGCACGTTGATAACAATTCATCCCTATTGGTATGAGTTAACGAGAGGGTCAATTGATCGCCCACTGCCAATCAGCCCATATCGCGTACACAACATAAGTTAACAGATTTCATTTACACTATTGACCTGGCCGATCGTTCATTTACTCGATCATTCAGGAATTTAATTAATGATCGAAGCGTCGATGGGAATCGATGAATTACTATGATGTAAAGAACGCGTTCGCCGTGTTCACGTAAGCTGGTAACGGTTGGCCTTGATACGATTATAATCTAGCGAAATGACTTTCCATCAAGCTGCCCTTCATTTAATGGTGGTTTTTAGTAATAACGAAATTGAGGTACAACTTCATTTTCACCGACATAACATTCCTTTATACTCGGTATCATTACGCTGAGTTCGCGTTCATGTTCGAACATATTTTAATCATTACCGAATGAATAAATTCGTTCAAAGAATTTTTTTCTTGTTCCTTAAAAAAGATCTAGACATTTCAAATACTGACGTTATGTGCAGGAAACCTTACGAAATTTGACAAATTGCACCTTCGAAGTTCGAAATATTAACCGGGCGAGAAATTCGGTACCTCTCCTTCTGTACAATCGAACATTTAATCGAAATTATTAATAAGAAAGGTAGAACCGATTGAAATGTCGTTATGCGTTCATCGATAAAGAGATTTTTACCTATGTATTATCTTACATATTATCATCGCACGCTAGATCTCAGTCGTATCATCCGATAATATATTCTGACGAATAATCTAAATGCGATCGGTGCACGAAGATCATGATAACGCGATGCATCGCGCAAGCGTTGTGGATAATACTTCGAAGCATGATTAACGATGATTAATGATGATTGGTTAATGATGATCTTCAACGAATCGCTTACAATTTCCTTTTTTCTTCAACGTAGTGCTGTGTCCACGATTTATCTGCGAATGATGTTATTAAGGATAAAAAGCAGGCGGGAATGAATGATACACGCGAGTCCGAATTCAAGAAGGACGCTCGTCCACCGGAAATAAGGGTCGTATGGCATTTGAGACGCGTGGTCCGACATGCTGGAAAAAATACCACTTAAACTGTTGGCTTGTAATATGTACATAATTTGCCAAGCACTATAAATTTTTAAATCAAATTAACTTCGTTGTAATAGAGCAAGTGTCTTATTAAAAACCAAATTAGTCGAGTACCCAATATCAATTCTTATAGAATTTCGCGGCTCCTAGTTTATACTTCAACTGGTATTCTCTAGTCAAAGTTACCATACACGTCCTCCATAATTTCACTAAAATATTGGACCGCGACTGTTTTTCCAATAAAAATAATTCTCAAAGTAGCGGGAAGGTCGGGGTTAAAGTCCTCAGTGACAGAGATCTCTTCCAATTTGTCGGACTGCGTCAGGATTAATAATTATTTACAGTGCCTTAACAAAACAGTAACTTCGGTAGATCGTTCCTAGACTTATACGATGGGGCCGCGATTCCGTGTCAATAATTTATCACCTATCCTCTTTAGACCTGTATCGTCATTGTTCTATCCTCCGAATACAGATCCCTCTCATGTTTCATGTTTCTCACGCTGGAACTAGTTCTCTCGTTGACGAAAGGAACCGCACTGTCACAATATGTGATCGAAGCTAGTTAAAATAAATATATATGTATATATATGTATATATATATATATATCTCGTCACTTAATATATCTACTAGCGGATCAGAGAGGCTGTCGTCTAAGTTGTGAATGGTCGTCAGCTGTACCAATCGGCACAAATCGCGCAGAGAACAAATCTCGTCGGTGCTCGACCATGCTCAATCCGTGTCCCCGTTCTTTTTTGTTTTTTTTTATGCTGCCTTCCGTTTTATGTTTCCGGGACATAACCCGTCGGGGATTCACGCGATTCAACGAACGAACTAAAACGTCCGCGTCGAACTCGGAGCGAGGTTGCACCGTGACACCGCGGCCGGCCGAGTCCGCGCACTTCCGGCCCACGCTCAGGCGCGCCGGTCAGTTCGTGGCTGTTTAGTTTTTCCGTTGCACGGCCGGTGGTTACAAATATGAATAAACACCCTCACGGTCTCTCATGTCTCTCCTGCTGCTTCAAGCGCCGTTCCCACGGGACGATCGGTTGCAATCCTTCACGATTCCGATGCACCTATTCGAGGGTTGCGGCGAATGAGACGTTCCCGCCGGAAGCGGCTGCCGCCGCGGCCAACAGCAACGTCGCTGGTAACGGCGGAAAAGGTGACGTCTGCTCCGTTGGCATCGTAGCGATCGTCGGGCAATCGTCCGCCACTCCGTAGACCTTCGCGTGATTCACTTCGAGAGCCACGGTCAAGTCGGCCAGTCCTGGGTCGCAAAGCATTGGATTGTCTGGAATGATAGAAAAGAATAGATGATCTCAAATGGGGAGAAGAAATCGCGAAAAATTTTCCTTGCTTCTTTTTCCATGTCAGGAAGGAATCGAAGCTAGTGTTTTAAAAATGCGATCTAAACCTCAAGCATTAAAAGCTGCAGCCGTGATTCAAGCTTTCAGAGCTTGATCGTTCAAGGCTCGAGCTTTCAAAGTTTCAATGCTGAGTTCTGAAGTTTCGAAGATTTTAAGGTTGAGTCTTAAAGCTTCTAAGACACGAGTGTTCTACAGCACTAGTCGAAGGTCTTCGACAACAAGAAAGATTACCTTTTTCACCCGGTAAATTATAACACCGTTTATACGATATTGTTTATACGCGACTAAAATAAAATTTACTTTTGTCTTGTAAAATGGCGTGATTATTATTATTCTGTTCAGCTATGTGAAATAAATAAGTATGTATTTATAAAATTTACACCAGCTATTCTCCCCTATATTTCACTTTTTCGTGTACCGACGGGCTCTATATACGCGATTTTCATGGGCACAGAACATCTCCACGTGGAACAGATACTCCACGTAAATGGAAGGACGAGTGTATGCATGTGCACCCGATATAATGAAATTATCGACAGAATATATAAAAGGATCAACAAATAAATCGAAACGAGGTGGTTGCGACAGATTCCGTGGAAATCGTTTCCCCGGCATCGACGCGTTATTTGTGTCGTTGCGAAGACGTCGCGTCGTAAACAAGCAATCGTGGCCGTTGCGGATGCAATAACAACGCCGGCCAGGGACGATCGTCGCGAATCAAGGTTCGGGATAGGGCCGGCCGGTTGATGGCCGAGAAAGAGGAACAAGCGTTAGCCGAGTGAACAACGGAGCCGCGATAACTGGGGATTCGACACGATAACGGTCGCTGCCACGAAAAACCAGTGCATTAACAATAACAACAGCGGACCGATGTTCGCCGCTCGTATATACAATAAATAATGCGAGATGGCGCCAGGACGGAGGTTATCGCTTGAAATGTAACTCTTGTAACAAAATAATACGCGGCCACTCAGCCGAACGGAGCCACAGTGATTATCAGCCAGTAATTTATTGTCAGCCGCCACCGGCCACTCTCATGACTCGTTCATCCTCTGTCCCGTTTCATCTTGTGCGGTGCGTCCATCTTCGCGACACTTAACGACGCGTTTATTAATTACAAACTGGCGCCCATTCAACGCGTCTACGTCGGACGGCGGTCTCGTTATCCTTGCGAGGGTGGCCGGCGAAATCACGACCCACGTGCACATATATCGCCTCATCGACCCGCTCGTTTCCAACAAACGAGCCGTGATTACGTGCATTTGCGCATCGCGTTCGACGCGATCCGTTCCTCGCTGGCCTTTGATCTAGCACGGTGGCCGATTGCATCGCGTCACGGATTTTCGAAAGTTCGAATACCGTTCGACTACAATTATTTTTCGCACCTTTACGTAGGATTGACCCAGGCGAATCGAATTAAGGTTGATAAGAAAAATTAGAATTAAGGGGACGTTACTAATAAAATGCGAGTAAAAAATTATTGAATCTTTCTTTCACGAATGGAATACAAGACATGAAAAATATTATTTCCAATATAACATACGTGGACTGGATTCTTGCATCGATTCGATTTATTCTCTACCCGATTATAATATTCTTTACAGATTATTTTGATGTCCGTTGTTGTTCGAGATGAACGGATTGAACCTCTAAGAACGTTTCTTTTTGAGAAAACGAACTCATGTAGGTACTTTCATTTGGACAGAGGGCAAAAGGAATACGTTCCATTCAAATCGAGATGTATCGTGCACGCAGGATGAACTTTCCGTTGCTCATTTTGCTTAAAAAATTTGTGCAGTCTCGTAGTCTCTTATCACGGAATCAATTTCAGGGTAGATTTTATCGCATTACAAATTTATACATTGAATATAAAAGTCTCGCAAACGCATCTCGGAAACTGATAAAGTATTTG